GGGACTGAACAGCAGCAGAGGATTTAAGACAGGACAGTAACTTCTGTCTACTAGCTCTGAGCCTAGCGAAACTGATGAACAGATTTAACACTATCACCTGACCCCTCCTCAGCCCACATTTATGCTTTTGATTATCTCAGGTTAATTTCCTTTCTGAGTTTCAGCTCTTTGGCAAGAAATAACTTTTACCCTCAGAGACAGAGAGAGAGAGAGAGAGAGAGAGAGAAAGACTGAATCGCGTCGTTATTCTACCAGGTGGCTTCTTGAGCTAATCCCTTCCTCCCCACACTTTCCTGAGGCAGATTGTTTTGTTGCTGTTTGGGTTAGCTCTGGTGATTTGAACCTAGGGCCTCATGCATGCTGGGCAAGTATTCTGCCTCTGACAGCTGTGTAGCTAGAAGCAGTCCCCATTCAGCTGGTCCCCCTGAACTGGTTTTTCTCCACCTGCCTGTTCCCGAAGCCACTTATGAAATAACTACTCTAAGCCTTATTATCAGTTACCTTATTTTCAATTGTTTGGGCAATGTCTTAGGCTTCTTTTTGGCTAGCTCTAACTATTAAATTAACCCATTTCTATTAATCTGTGTATTGCCACGAGGCTGTGGCTTACCTGTGCAGCATGTTACTCCCTCAGCAGCTCTGTGGCATCTCCTTGACTCCATCTTCTCTCTCTCTCTCTCTCTCTCTCTCTCTCTCTCTCTCTCTCTCTCTGTCTCTCTGTTTGGTTTTCCCACCTGGCTTTACTCTGCTAAGCCATTGGTCAAAACAACTTTATTCACCAACCAATAAAAGCAGCACATATACAAAAGGACATCCCACATCAGAGCTGTATCCCCAGCTCTTAAAAAATTCTTTTTTGTTTGTTTGTTTAAAATTGTGCATCGATCTTGACCAAATTGCCCAGGCTGACATTTAATTCTTAGCCCCAGCAGGCCTGAATTTTTAATCCTCTAACCTTATCCTCCCGAGTAGGCAGGATTACAGACTGGTTCCATAAGGGCTGGTTGAAGACAACTTTGCTATTCTGCCCAGGCTAGCCTCACACTCCTAAACTCAAGGACTCCTCCTGCTTCAGCTCCCAGGTTTAAGATTTCACCTTGTAATTGCTCAAGTCCATTTTGGCAAAAGTCTTTGGATTGTCCCCAACAAAATAATTCATCTTGAGTTGCATAACTCACTAAATTTCATTCCAAATGCTCAGACCTCCCCAACAACACTCTTAGCTCTGGCCAACATGCAGTTGTAATTTTAATTACTCTTAGAAGCCTTGATCTTCAACTTCTAGAAGATGGACCACCCCTTGTTTGGACTTCTCTCTCTAAATTAATAGAGATGACTCATTTTCTTGGTTAGGAAACATAAATTGTAAGTCACAATGCAATATTTTCAGACTTTCCTCTCCTTTATGACAACGTGGTGCCGAGTCAGGACCAGGAACTAGATGACAGTCAATACACATCTACACCACCTGAATCCCATCAAAGTTCATCATATAATTGTCTAAACATTTTGATCAGATATGCTAACTTCTACATAGAAGTAGTCTACCATGGTCTCTGTGTAGATGAAGTGTGGGACCATTTTGCCTACCCTGTCTCAACCTAGGCACTATTGACATTTTCAGCAGGGTGATTTCTTGCGGGAAGGAACTATCCTGTGCCTTTTAGGGTGTTCTACAGAATCTCTTGCCTTCTACCTACTAGTGGCCAGTGAGGAAAAGCGACAAGATAATCAAACTTGCCTCCAGGCATTTCTAACATCTCCAAGGGGCAGAGCTGAGACTGACTAATGAGACAAAGTTCAGCCTCCACTCCATGCATGATTCTATTTGTTCTGAGTGAAAATGCCGAGAACCGCAGAGTCCATGAGCACAGAGTTTTCTTACCGGAGTGTTGCTCTTCCTTTTGACTTCTTCTAAGATGGATGCCAAAACTAATAACGCTCGTTGTTCAGCCATTCAAGGTGCACTCCTGGTCTCAGAACTCTTTCAAATTGTCCCACCGTTTAGTGCCCCTGGAAGATGGTACACCCTGGGCCATGCACTGTAAAAGGAGCCTGGAAATGGAAAGGGGAGAGATTCTCTCCTGTCAGAGGAAGTGGGACTGCTACCTTAACCACGAATCCTTTATCTATGTGGTCATTTAGACTCTGGAAAGATGGAGTGAACTGGCTACTGGTGTCTCTAACATCCAGGGTAATTCTAAAGTACGCCAGGTAATTCTAAAGTCCAGTCTAAAACCTGCTACAGTAGAGGTTTCACAAATACATTTTACAAAAGTCACACACAGTTATCTTTGCTGGAACCACAGGGAGTTGGTTGCAGTTGTCCCTTGAGTACATCAGAATCCATTGAAACTTAAGTATCTTATGTAAAATTACATAGCGTTTGGATTCTATTTGACAGAGCATAGTTGTGCGCACCTTTAATTCCATCAGTGAGGAGGCAGAGGCAGGAGGATCTCTGTGAGCTTGAGGCCAGCCTGGTCTACAGAGTGAGTTCCAGGACAGTCAGAGCTGCATTGAGATCTATCTCGAAAGACAAACAAAAAAAGAAAAAATAGACAAAAAAGGTACAGAATGACTTAGAAAGACATTGACCTCTGGTCTTCACATGCATGCATATGTGCGCACACATACAAACACATAATACAATCATACCGTATACACATTGGCACATCAAGAGCTGCCAATAAACTGAGAATGGGCAAACTTTTCCTTTTTGAAAAACATATTTTACTTATGATGATAGACATTTGATATGTGCATGTATATGCATGTGAGTATGTGTGTGTGTGTGTGTGTGTGTGTGTTCATGAACACCATGGTGTATGTGTGGAGGTCAGAGGAAAACTTTTTTTTCCCTCTTATTAAAACAAAAAAAATTTTTTTTTGAGATAGTATGTCACTGTGTAGCCTTGGCTGACCTGGAACTCTCTGTAAACCAGGCTGCCCTTGAACCCAGATGTCTGTCTGCTGCAGCCTCCCGAGGCATAGAGTTAAAGGCACTTAGCACCATACCTGGTTTTCTACTTCCACTGTGAAATCTAGGGACAGAGTTCAGGTTGTCAGGTCTAAGCAGCAAGTGCTTTGTTACCTAGTGAGCCATCTCACTGGCCCGAACTACTACTAAAGGGCCAGATAGTAAAAAGTTCTTTGAGCCTGGTGGTGGTGGCATACGCCTTTAATCTCAGTACTCTGGAGGCAGAGGCAGGCGGATCTCTGTGAGTTAGAGGCCAGCCTGGTCTACAAGAGCTAGTTCCAGGAGAGGCTCCAAAGCTACAGAGAAACCTGGTTTCTAAAAAACTAAAACAAACAAACAAACAAAAAAAAAACCCATAAGTTTGTTCATCCATGTGGATGCCCATTGTCTGTGCTGTTGCCAGAAAACATGTGAAAGTCCATGATTTGTGCTCCAGGTGACTCTACAGGGAAAGGAAGCTACTTTTTCCATGGTATTGATGACTGCAGACTCACAGTTGAGAAAGAGGGACATCCAGGACTTCTGTGACAACCCCTCCCCAACAAAGTAACAGCTTAGATAAAGCTTGATGTGGGATTTCCCTCTGGATGCTGTGATTACCGTTAATGAATAAAGAAACTGCTTTGGACCTATAGTGGGGCAGAATTTAGCTAGGCAGGGAAAACTAAGCTGAATGCTGGGAGGAAGAAGGGTGGAGTCAGAGAGAAGCCATGGAGCCTCCAGGGGACAGACACCGTCAGAACATTGCGGTAGGCCATAAGCCTTGTGGTAAAATATAAAATAATGGAGATGGGTTAATTCTAGATGTAAGAGCTAGCTAGCAATACGCTTAAGTAATTGGCCAAGCAGTGTTTTAAATAATACAGTTTCTGTGTGATTATTTTGGGGCTGAGCAGCCTCCCTACTACAAAAGCTATTAAAAAGAACTCTTAAAAACTGTGATAAGGATGCTGAAGCGTCACCCTCCAGGGCCGATGGCTTGAGGGGAGGGTGCAGAAAGAAGGACTCCATTTTCCTTATAGGGCTGATCCCTGGGAGTTTGGCCATGCTCCCATAAGTATATAGGCAACACAAATTGGACTTATTTTTTTCTTTTTTTTTTTTTTGGTGGGGTAGTCACAAAGGTGTGTGTGTGGGTCAGACCTGGGAGGACTGTGAAGTGACTGTATTCGAGTGGTTCATGATGTGAAATTCCCAAATAATCAATAAAAATAATATGAAAAAGGAAAAAGAAAAAAGAAAAAAAATCTCTGGTAACTAATAAACTTTTCTGTTGTAGTAAGAAAACAAGTACAGGCAATAGGAAAAAAAAATGACCGCGTTGTGTTCCTTATGAATACTGAAATTTGAATTTCATATAAATTTTGCATGCTACCAAAAGATATTCGTCTTTTGATTTTTTTTCCCCCAGACCAGTTTTTTAAAAAGGACATCTGTTCTGAGTTTGCTTCCAGTTGGATTAAAACAGTGGCAGGCTTAGCTGGATTGGTCCCAGAGGCAGCTTTAAGGGGATGGGTTTCAAGCTCGGTAGCTAGGTCATTATCTAAGAGTGAGAGCCAGCGAGTGTGTTTATGCAAAAGATACACAATTGAGGATTATCATGGCTGTATTACAGGTGGCAGACTATTTCCTAGTGGACTGGGAGGCGTCTCTGGCCCTGGGCCCTGGCTAGCTGCAGTTACACATTTTTTTTCTTTATCTCGTATCTAGTCACCCCCACCTCTTTCTTTTTTGAGACAGGATCTCACTATGTAGCCACGTCTAATTTGCAATCTTCCTGCCTCAGCCCCCTAAGTGCTGGAATGAAAGAGCTGAGTTTGACTTTCAAATCTCCCAGGGACAAGAGTGTCTCATCATTGCCTTGTCCGTCTCAGTTTGGCCCCTTCGCCCGCTGTGGCCACTAGGGGTGCCAGAGTGGGAGAACGCTCCCAGGGGCCTTGCGACCAATCAGATCGGCGCTACGCCTGGAGCCCAGCGACTTGACCTCGCGTCCACCCTTGGCAGCCAATCACAGGTCGCCGTGGGCCAGTGTGTGGCGGCCTGAGCTCTGCCGCTGGCGCGGCGGTCTCGGCCGGTCGTGGTGCGGGACTTCCCGAGCAACGCCTTGCGGGCCAAGGCGATCCGGGAGGCTCAGGTAAGCGACGGAGGTAATGGCAGGGGTGTGGTCCTGCTGACCTCCGCCGGGGCGACCGGGAGGGGCGGGCCACCAGATCCCGGGCTGGGACGCTGGGTGGAGGGCTTTCTGCGTGCCCCGGGGAAGGAAGCGCGCGCGGGTAGGCCGGGCCCCCCGGGGATCCTGCCTGGCAGACCCCGGCACACGCGTGAGTTCCCGCGTCCCCCCTCCTACGATCTCTCCCCTCCCCCATCCCAGGGCTGGGCCTGCTCCTCCTAAATGCCTTCCCCATCGCTGAGGTTAAATCCTGAAGGCAGGAGACCTGTTACAGGGCGAGGTGGCGCCTCCCTGCAATCCCGGCCACCCCAAGGGAGGTGGTGGAAGGACCACATAGTGAGACCGCTTCAAAAAACTAGGTAGCTAAGTCAGTAAACGAACTGTTAGCTAGTTTTATAAACTGAGCCCCACTCCCAGTTTGGAGATCCACAGGCCCTTTGAGGCTTTAAAAGCATTTTAAAATCCATTTATTTGTCTCTTTCCCATACAGCACCATCTTGTTTGTGTATTCCCTTGACTACGTGCTTTCTTGAACTCCAGGGCAGCTCTCGGGGCTCCTAATAGATTCTCCTAGATAGCTAGTTTTGATTTGAGCAGGGCGCAAGTCACCTGTTTTGTTTACGGAGGTATAGTATATTGGACGGTAGCCTGTAAGCTGCCTGTACTAACCATCCAAATGACAGGGGTGGGGGTGGGTAGCTTAGTTGGTCACGTGCTTGCGTAGGGTTGACAAAGCCCCGGACTCGATTCCCAGTACTTCACAAAGCGCTTGTGCTGGCCTCACAGAAAGTACTTGGTAAGTAGGATCAGACTGGTTTTGTACCAAAGCAAACAAAACACAACGGTAAATAAGTACCTGATAAGTAGCAAAGTAGAGGAAAATCTTTGTAACATATAAAATGTAACTGAATCTTAGAGTTTTGTTTTGTTTTTTCTCGTTTGTTTTTTCAGGCATGTAACTGACTTTCGCCTCTTGGACCCGCTGAAGTTACTGAAAGTTACACTATATCTGAGGTAAGAGAAGGCCTTTTCTACGTCCTTTTCTGTCTCTTGTTCGCTCCTTTGATAAAGTAAAACATCACCCCCTGGTGATGGTGGTGCACACCTTTAGTTCCAGCACTCCACTCGGGAGACAGAGGCAAGCAGATCTCTGTGAATTCAAGGCTAGCCTGGTCTACCACGTGAGTTCCAGGACAGCTAGCCATACACAGTGAGACTCTCTCTCTCAAAAACAAAACAAAACAAAACAAAACAAAAAACCAAAAAAACCAAATAAACAAAAAACAAAGAAAAAAAACAAGCAAAATAAACTGCCCTTTAGAATTTCCAGAAGGAATCTGAATGGGTATGATAAATTCAGGGCAAGGATTGATGTAAGTAATTCTGCAAACTTCTAAGTTGCTACCCGGAACAGGAAGAAGTGCTAGATGTGCCCTTTCACCTAAAATCCTGAAAAAGAAAGTAAATACCGTGGATGCTCCAGGAAGCTGACTTCTTTTTATCATAGTGGGAGGCAAAAGAGAGTTGATACAGATAACTTAAGATTCCGCTGATGACTAAAATGTTAAATTGGATTAGTCTCCACTCTGTCTTTTGAGGAAGCTATGTAGCTGAGAATTGCCTTGAACTCCTGATTTTATTAAGCCTTCCCCTCCTGAGGGCTCTGGTTATAGGTATGCACAAGCCTGACTTCTGGATTTTTTATTCTTCCAACTCCAGGAATTCTAAGGTGCCAATATTATCTTAGGGTCAGTTTGATACATCAGGAAATAATAGCAGGAAGTGAAGTGCTTTTAACCTTTTTTTCTGCAATATTTTTCTTTTCTTTTCTTTTTTGGTTTTTCGAGACAGGGTTTCTCTGTAGTTTTGGAGCCTGTCCTGGAACTAGCTCTTGTAGATCAGACTAGCCTCGAGCTCACAGAGATCTGCCTGCCTCTGCCTCCCAAGAGCTGGGATTAAAGGCGCGTGCCACCGCCGCCCAGCCAATATTTCTTTTTTTTTTTTTTTAATATTTTGAGATTCCTCCAAGCCCTCCCACATACCTCCCTTGCTCTCTTTCAAAATTCCTTACCTTTCTTTCTTTGTTGTTACATATATGTATGTATCACAAAGAGACACAGACACACCTAAATCTATAAATACAAGTCTGTATTATTACTTATATGTATGTTTTCAGGTCTGACCATTTGGTGTTCTTCCCTGAGGAAGACCTCCCCCATTCTCAGTATTCTTTAGCTGACTGTAGCTCTTTGTGTAGGGTTAAGGCCTCAAGGAGCTTTCCCTCTTCCGCAAGTCTTTGGGTGCTGTTCTGGTTGAGGTCATGTTGAGGTGGTTAGGGTGGTTCGTGGATGTCTGGGTAAAATTGCCATTAATTCTTTGAAAGTTTGATAAAAAAGAAAGAAAGAGAGAGAGAGAGAGAGAGAGAGAGAGAGAGAGAGAGAGAGAGAGAGAACGAATGAACGAATGTCTGGAAGGGTCTGCCTTGAATTCCAGGCTTGGACTTCTTTTGGTTGGGAGACTTTTAGTTTCTATTTTCTCTGGGGTTTTTCTGTCTGTGTGTGATATTTTCATTATCCACTTATCAGTTGAAGGACATGACTGAGCAAGTGTCTGTGAAGTAGACTGTCCTTTGGGCATGTGCCGAAGAGCGGTCTGTCTGGAGCCAAAGCTATCTTCTTAGCATTTTGAGAGTTCTCCACACTGATTTCCAGCGTGGCTCAGTTGGTTTCCAGTCCCACCAACCCTGAATGAGGGTTCCCCTTTCTCCCCATGCTCTCCAGAAGTTGTTGGCTGTTTGTTGATTCTCACCAATCTGACTGCAATAAAACGAAATTCGACACTTGTTTTTGTTTGCATTTTCTTGATAGCTAGTGACACCTAGAGACACTGAACTTTTGTTTTTATTTGGTTGAGACGTCTCTGTTCAGGTCCCAAACTCATTGAGTTCTATATCCAGTCTAAGGGAATCCTCCGTCAGATGGAGAGCTGGCAGAGGTTCTTCCCCATTGTGTGTCTTCCTCTTCGCTTGATTGTTTCTTAGCTGTGCACAAGCTTTTTAGTTTTCCCACTTGTCAACTATTGGCTTTATTCTGGACAAATGAAGTCCTGTTCAAAGCGGCCTTTCCTACACCTAGATCCTGCAGGAGATGGCCTGCTTTTTTTTCCTAGTAGTTTCAGTGTTTTATATTTAGAGCTTTGTCCATTTGAAGTCCACTGGGGTTAGTCTGTGTACAGGGCTTAGGTATGGATCTAATTTCATTCTTTGCATATCCAATTTCCCAAGAACTGTTTGTTAAAGTTGGTTTCTTTTCTTCAGTATATATTTGGCATTTTTGTCAAATACTAAGTGGCTGAAGTTATGTATACTCGGGAGTTCAATTTTGTCCTAGTGGTCTACTTGTTTGTTTCTGTGCCGGTACCATACTGTTTTCATTACTATGGTTCTATAATACCTTTTGTTTTGTTTTGAGACAGGATCTCTATGTAGTTCTGGCTGTTCTACGACTCCTAGGATAGGCTTGTAGAGGTCCACCTGCCTCTGCCTCCTGAGTGCTAGGATTAAAGTCATGTTCCACCATGCCTGACATGTGATAGTTCTTAAGATCTGGTATAGTAGGTTCTCCAGCACTGTTCTTTTTATTCAGGATTGTTTTGGCTATATGGTGTCTTTTGTGGTTCTATATTAATCTTAAGATATTTTTTCCATTTTTGTGAAGAATGAGATGGGAATTTTGAGATTGCATTGACTCTGTAAATAGCTTTGGTAGAATAGTCATTTTCAGGATATTAACTCTGAATAGTTCATTCATGAACATGGGATGTCTTTCTGTTCTGTTTTCTAATGTCTTTATCTCTTTTTTCAGAGGTTAAAGTTTTTTTTTAATTGTAGATGTTTTTCATATCTTTGTTGAGGTTTAGTCCCAGATATTTTGTTTTCTTTGAACGTATTGTTATGGGAGTGTACTCATGACGGTGTGACAGGGCAAGACAGTGCATTGGTTCCTCCATCTTGTATTCTTGGTGAGGCCATTTTAGATTTGACTAGAATTATCCAACTCTATTCTAGGAACCCAAGGTCAAGATGTCACACTTAGCTTATCTTGGCTTCTGTTAAACTGACTGCTTGTGTAAAACCTTCCCCCCTTTAGCTAACTGCTTATTGTAACTACTGTTAAACTGCTTGCTTGTACAAAGCCTCCCCCTGCAGTGCAGAGAGATAACAGAAAACGGTTTTTGCCTTTAAAAAACCACTACACTTGGGTCCCAAATACACGAATATGGTGCCAGCTGACTGGAATAAAGACTTTCAATTGGCTCTAAACTGTATTTGAGTGGTCCTCTGTGATGAGCTCCCTCTAACAATCTCCTCTTTATATTTGTTATTGATTATTAAAAAATATTGATTTTTGCCAGTTAATTGTGCTCTTGTCACAGTGCTGAAATTGTTTATTGCCTCTAGGCTTTTTGTTTAGACTTTTTGGGACCTTTTATGTATAATATGTCATCTGCTAATAGCAGTTGTTTGACTTTTATGTATAATATGTCATCTGCTAATAGCAGTTGTTTGACTTTGTATCCCTTGTGTTTCCTTCTTATGCATTATTGCTCCAGCTAGTGCTTCAAGCACAATATTGAGAAGGATAGGAGGGGCCTGGATAGCTCAATTGGTAGAGCGTTAGACTTTTAATCTGAGGGTTCAGGGTTCAAGTTCCTGTTTAGGCATTTGTAACTCTTCCCTTCCAAAACTAAGGCAATCAAGGTGGTGTGCTTTTATTCTCTTCCAAGAAGATATACTCAAGAAACTATACTCAAAAGAATCGATGAAACAAAACATACCCAAACAAACAAAAAAGATAGATGAGAAGGATAGGAAGTAGTTATCATCTCTGTCTTATTTCTGACTTCAGAGGAATTACTTCAACTTTTCTCCACTTAGGATGGTGTAGGCTGTTATTTTGTGTAGTATGTTCCCCCAGGCCTATTTTGTCTCAGACTTTAATCTTGAAGTCATGTTGAATACAGTCTGTATTGTCAAACAAGTCATCTTGTTGGTTACATTGTATTGACTTCCAGGAAAGTAGATTATTCTGGAGCCATTTTAAGTGAAGTGATCGTCATCTCAAGAGATGCAGAAAGTGTGTTGCTATCTCTTTAAGATATTTCTTTCTTCTGAGTGTATACCTAGCTGTTAGACTGCTGGATAGTTCTTTTTTTTAATTTATTTTTTTTTATTTTGTATATGTTGGTGTATTGACTGCATGGGTCTGTGTGACCGTGTTGAATTTCGTGCAACTGGAGTTACAGTTGTGAGCTGCTGTGTGGATCCTGGGGATTGAACCTGGGTCCATTTGAAAGAGCAGCCAGTGCTCTTAAGCACTGAGCCATCTCTCTAGCCCCCATATGATAGTTCTTTAAAACATTTTTTTTCTTGAACTTCCATGCCTTTTTTCCATAGCAGCTGTATCCTTTTATAGTTCAACAATTTAAGGATTCCAATTTATTCATTTCCTTGCCAATACTTTCTGTTTTTAAATTTGTAATAGCTGTCCTAATCGATGTGAGGTGATATCTAATAATTTTAATTTTCATTTCTCTGATGATTTGGGATGTTGGAAATAGTTCCATATACTTCTTGACTATTTGTACGTCATCATTGGAGAAATATCTATTAAAATCTTTTGCCCATTAAATTATTATAAATTTTAAAAAATTTTATATCTGTGTGAAGGTGTTGGATCCTCCAGAACTGGAGTTAGAGACAGTTGTGAGCTGCCATGTGGGTTCTGGGAATTGAACCCGGGTTCTCTAGCCCCATTTTGCCCGTTTTTAAATTGGGTTCTTGTATTAGTTTTTGTTGTAGCTGTGATAAACTACCTGGCAAAGCAACTTAAGGTTTGTTTGACTTAGTTTGAAGGTGCAGTTGTAAATCTCTGTATTGACTTACCCACTGTAGGAAGAAGACTTAAACCAACACTGAATTACATTAATCTATAGGTATAAATGCCAGTATTTGGAAGGTGGAGCAATAGGAGGTTTTGTCTCCTAGGACCTGTAGCCTCCCCAACCATGGGCTTTTGACCAAGTTGACAATTCCAGGAATGAATTATATCTTGTGGAATAGGCCTCAAATCTAATGGTATGCCTGTGTTGTAACATACCATTATACCAATGAACCAGTAGGCACATCTCTGTCAAGTTAGTCTGTAGCATCAGAGTCCCCCACTAGACAAATCTGGGAATGACTTCTCTTGTGGCCTCTATAGCCCTTCCCCTTCCAGCGCTGAAAGCTAGTCATCAGGGAGGAGGTTTCTAGGGCAGTTCCAGCTGGATTTTTGTGTATCCCTGCTACCAAACTGTGGGGTGTCTTTAGCAGTAGGTCTTATCTTCTAGTTATGGCAAATAATTGAGCAATGGCGGTGGCCTGTGTTGTTGGAGAACCCCTGGAGCTTCCTACATCAGTAACACAGGGATGTGGCTACACCCAGGACTAAGAATTTTCATTTAATAACCTATGTTTTTTTTTTTTTTTCTTTTTCTTGGTTTTTAGAGATAGAGTTTCTCTCTATAGCTTTGGAGCCTGTCCTGGAACTCGTGTTGTAGACCAGGCTGACCTTGAACTCAGAGATCTGTCACCTGCTTCTGCCTCCTGAGTGCTGGGATTACAGGCGTGTGCTACCACCACCTGGAATAACCTGTTGACAGGGTTTTCTGTCCCACCAGGTCCTCCAGCCATTTAGTCCCAAGAAAATCACACAGAGGTCTACATTAGTTATAAACGGATTGGCCCATTAGCTCAGGCTTCTTATTAACTCTTATATCTTACATTAGCCCATTATTCTTGTCTATGTTAGCCATGTGTTTCGGTACCTTATTCAGCGAGGCAGTCACATCTTATTTGTTCAGTGGCTGGGTCAGGACTGCAGAAAAAGCTTCCCTCTTCCCAGAATTCTCACTATCCCACCTCTACTTCCTGTCTG